CTTAAATTTTTAAAGCTTAATTTTCATTCTTTTTTGACATTTTAAATTTATTTCCCACACTTTAAGACATGTAGAAAATGATGGTAACAACCATTTTTCCCCAAAATGAAAACTATACCTTGAATGCCGCATTTGACACGTTTTTTTTTAATTAATTCATCACTTTTTCACTTAATTGTTTGCATACATGTGTGTACCTTATTTTCTATGATTTTTTGAAATTTTAAAGTTTTTTCATACATTTAAAAGTGTGTAGAATTTAATGGTAATATCCAATTTTCTTAAAACTCAACAGTTCATTTTTAATACTGAAACTAGACCCTTTTTTCAATTAATTCTTTACATGTTATTTCTCACTATTTTTTGACATTTTAAGTTTATTTCCCACACTTTAATACATGATAAAAATCATGGTAACAACCATTTTACATAAAAATCAGCGCTTGTTACTGAATACTGCAGTGGACAGGCTTTTTTTAATGTTTTTTTGATTGATTTTTACCGGCCTGATTTTAAGCATTTTTTTTTATTTTAAATTTATTTCCTACATTTACAAATGTTTAGAATTGAATGGTGAAGTCCAATTTCATTCAAAATACAAGCTGCAATCTTAATAGATGAGCGTACCCTGTTTCTTGCATAATTTGTACCATATACAAATTTTATTTGAATGCAAAATGGATACAGCCATCAATTCTGAAACCTTTAAAAGTGTAGGAAATGAGCTTGAAATTCCAAAAAATAAGGATAATTGAGTGTGTAAGAATTAATTCAGGAAACACGTCAAAGGCATTATTCAAGATATAGTTTTCATTTTGATGAAAATTCATTGTTGCCATAATTTTATACATGTTTGAAAGTGTAGGAAACAGATTTAAAATGTCAAAAAATAATGAAAATTAAGCTCTTAAAAATCAATTGAAAAATATGACTAATTACAGTATCCAGAATGAACCTTTGAGTTTTATGGGAATTGAATGTTACCATTAAATTTTACACACTTTTAAATGTAGGAAACAACTTTAAAATTTCAAAAAAGCATAGAAAATAAGGTAAAGAAATTAATCCAAACAATTGAGTGAAAAAGTGAAGAATTAAATAAAAAAACATTGTCAAATGCAGTATACAAGATGTAGTTCTCACTTTCATGCAAAATAATTTTTACCATAAATTTATACATGTCTGAAAGTGTAGGAAAAAAGTTTAAAATGTGAAAAAAGAATGAAAATTAAGCTGTAAAAAATTAAGTGAAAAAATGGGTGTAATTTGAGTATTAAAAGTGAACCGTTGAGTTTTAAAAAAATTGGACTGCGCCATTAAATTCTACGCATATTAAAACCTAGGAAATAAATTTAAAATTTTAAAAAAACATAAAAAATAAGGTACATACATGTATGCAAACAATTAATTGAGAAATGAGTGAAAAAAAATAAGGGCCTTAATAAAAACACCCGCATTTTCCGCGTTTTGACGCGGTTTCTGCTGCGCGCAGCACACGCGCATTCCGCTTTTAAACCCGCTTTTTCAATTCATTTTTTACCGCTTATTTTTTGAGTTTTTTTGAATTTTTAAAATTGTTTCCTAGGTTTCAAAGAGCATAGAATTTAATGGTAAAAACCATTTTCAATAAAAATGAATTTTGATTATTAATTATTTTTTTTCACTCATTTCTCAATTAATTGTTTGCAAACATGTTTGTACCTTATTTTTTAGCCTTTTTTGAAATTTTAAAATTATTTCCTAGGTTTTAATGTGCGTAGAATTTAATGGTGCAATCCAATTTTTTTAAAACTCTACGGTTCATTTTTAATACTGAAATTAGCCCCATTTTTTGACTTAATTTTTTACAGCTTAATTTTCATTATTTTTTGATGTTTCAAATTTTCTTCCTACACTTTAAGACATTTAAAAAATTATGGTAACAACCATTTTTCCCCAAATTGATAACTATACCTTGAATGCTGCATTTGACACCGTTTTTTTAATTTGTTTTGTTAATTGCTTGTTACCGGCTGGTTTTTAATCATTTTTTGAAATTTTAAATTCATTTCCTCCATTTAAAAATGTTTAAAATTGAATGGTGAAGTCCAATTTCCCTACAAATACAAGCTTCAATCTTAATACATGAGTGTACCCCGTTTCTTGCACAATTTGTAACGTATACAAATTTTATTTGAATGAAAAATGGATACAGCCAACAATTTTGAAACCTTTAAAAGTGTAGGAAATGAGCTTGAAATTCCAAAAAATAAGGATAATTGAGCGTGTAAGAATTAATTCAGGAAACACATCAAAGGCATTATTCAAGATATAGTTTTCATTTTGATGAAAATTCATTGCTACCATAATTTTATACATGTTTGAAAGTGTAGTAAACAAATTTAAAATGTCAAAAAATAATGAAAATTAAGCTCTTAAAAATCAATTGAAAAATATGACTAATTACAGTATCCAGAATGAACCGTTGAGTTTTATGGGAATTGAATGTTACCATTAAATTTTAAACACTTTTAAATGTAGGAAACAACTTTAAAATTTCAAAAAAGCATAGAAAATAAGGTACACACATGTATGCAAACAATTAGGTGAAAAAGTGAGGAATTAATTAAAAAAACGTGTCAAATGCAGCATTCAAGGTATAGTTTTCAACTTGGGGAAAAATGGTTGTTACCATCATTTTCTACATGTCTTAAAGTGTGGGAAATAAATTTAAAATGTCAAAAAATGATGAGAATTAAGCTGTAAAAAATTAAGTCAAAAAATGGGGCTAATTTCAGTATTAAAAATGAACCGTTGAGTTTTAAAAAAATTGGATTGCACCATTAAATTCTACACACATTGAAACCTAGGAAATAATTTTAAAATTTCAAAAAAGCATAAAAAATAAGGTACATACATGCATGCAAACAATTAATTGAAAAATAAGTGGAAAAAAAAAATCAATAATCAAAATTCATTTTTATGGAAAATGGTTTTTACCATTAAATTCTACGCGCTTTGAAACCTAGGAAACAACTTTAAAAATTCAAAAAAAGTCAAAAAATAACCCATAAAAAATTAATTACGAAACCGCGTCTAAAAGCGGAAGCCGCGTGTGCTGCGGCGCATCAAAACCGTGTCAAAACGCGGAAAAACCGCGTTTTTTTATTAAGGCCCTAGAACAAAAGGCTCCTCCATCAATCAAACATTTAATCTTGTATTTATTACAGATGACATTTGTGATGTTAGTACCTCCAGTCTTATGAATTTCTCCTTTATTACTAGACTTTTTCACGGGTAATTTTATAAGGGGCTTGGAAAAACAACTCCCAAATTTTAGTTGACGACTCCCGTTTGGGTCAGGAGGTCGTTGGCGGGAGTCGTTCTTCCAATTCCCAAAAAAACAGAGGGAGTTGTCGCACTAATTTTACTTGGAGAATTTTTATTTTTTTATCAAAAAATTAGGGAGTCGTCCACCTAAAGGGCGGGAGTTGGCGCACTAATTCCACCTTATATTTTGACATTTTTTATATTTAAATCAACGGGAGTCGTCAACCTAAAAGGAGGGAGTCGTTGAACCAATTCTGCCAAATATTTTGCCTTTTTTTTCTATATTAAAAAAAGACGGGAGTTGTCCAACTAGAAATGGGAGTCGTCGCCACATGGCAACCTCAGAGACTCCAAAAAAAGGTTGAGCCACTGAGGCCCCACCCCAAACGCAATTTATCAATGATAAAAAAATTAGATTGGTTGAGAAAAACCATTGCAATAAATAAAAGAGATGACAAACAGGCCAAAAATATTCAAAAATGATCAGAAAAGTAAGAAAAAAAAACAGCGTAAAAAAGGACAGAGGAAAAAAATCAAAAAATAAAAAAGACACAGGATAAAAAAAACCCTAGCAGTGTTTCATTGGATTTTTGATTTTCCTCTCTACAGTCAATTCAAAACAATCAGAAAATCAGGCTTCCCATTCCAAAGCCTCTTCTGACGCCTTTTCTTTCCACCCCTTCATGAGCTGAGGGGCAGCAAACAGTCTTGGGTTATGTAACTGCAAGGGGACAAAATGAGAAAATTCATGTAGAAAAGCAATAAAGATAGGGGGGTTGTCATTGGGGGGGGGGGCAGAAAGAAGGAAGAAAAGTCTGGCAAAAGGTGTCAGAAAAAAAGCAAACAGGCCTCTCAAAGGCATTTTTCATTACCTCACCCGTCGAAGGCATGGACATCCAATGAATCTTTGAACAAGGCGCTGGTGAATCGACCTTGATACAATCCAAAGCCCCGTGGATTTTGTGGAACACTTTTTGATACCAATCAGGCCGGCAAACAATTTCATTGTACAATTTGTATCAAACTGCCATATAATCGCCCTGCCCACGTCCCAATGCGTAAGCCACAGCCCGGAATCCGCAGTGACCATCTGATCAAACATCCACAATATCCTGGACATCAGGTTGAATAATTTTGGGTAAGTACTGAAAGTAATTGAGATCAGATGGGGGGATTGGCAGATGCGGGTTAGATGGACGTGGGGGAGGGTCTAGAAGCACCAATGGGGCCGGGTTGGTGAGAGTGATGGGGGACGAGGGCACAGAGACATCGGCAGAGGAATTGACTTTGTGTTATGAGCTGTGGAGGACTGGAACTGGGGACGTTACATATGTAGAGAGCCTGTTACGTACATGTCACGAACTTCGAACTTGGAGTTCGTTCGAGATCCGGACCTTGTACATTCCTCATCTTGCAATCTACCATCAAGACTCAGAACCTAGAAGATCCCTCACCTGCTCTCCCTAGAACACCCATAACATATTGCAAGATCTACTCACATGGAGACCAGGAACAAAACACCCATAATACCACTCCTCAAACTTTGAAAATCAACCTCCTTAACCTGGAAAAACCTTCCATCAAAACTTGTTTATCCTTCCCCTCAAACTAGTTACTCACCCCTCCTGTACCTCTCCCTCTCTCACTGTACTCACAGGACCCCCCAGGAGCCCCTTTGGACCCCCAGGAGGATGTTTTTCGTTGGTTTTTGCCAGATCGCGCCGGATTTTTGTTTGGATCATTAGGACCGCCGTAGGACCCTCGGAACTCGTCCAGGACCCTCGGAAAGCCATTGGATCGCTCGGAACTAGCCCCCGACCGCTTGGAGAGCCCCCAAGACCCCCACAGACCCCTGTCCGTTGTTGGACGGCCCTAGAGGGACCGGATCGTCATCGGACGACCCAGACAGACCCCCAACGCCCTGGAGCACTCCCCAACCCACTAGAAGCAAACGAGGCCCCAGAGCCCCAGCAAGGCCCCAGAAGCGCCCCAGAGCACCAGCAAAGCTCCTGAAGCGCCCCAGAGCCCCAGCGAGGCCCCAGAAGCGCAGCAAGAAGCCCCAGAGCCCTATCAAGGCCCCAGGAACGCAGCAAAGCGCCCCAGGACGCTAAAGAGCAGCCCCAGACCCCCAAGAGAACCCCCAACGCGCCGCCACTTTGAGATGCCCCTGGGAGACCCCTGGTGATTTTTTTCTTAGTTCCAGCTCCCCGATTAGACCCCAGACCCCCAGGCCCACATAACAACCTCTGGGACCCCCAGAAAAAACCCCAAGACCCCCAGAAAAACCCCCAACCCCCCAGAGAAACCCCAAGACCCACAGAAAAAACCCCAAAAGAACCCCTGAAGCAACCCAAGACCCCCCAAGAACCCCCCTGAACAATCAGAACAACCCCACAAAAACCCCAGAACTCCCCCAAGACACCCCAGATCCTCAAAGAGAGCTCACACGAGCCATTTGGCAAGGCGTAAAAGTACACTCCACAATTTTAGTTGCACCTTCCAAAGTCACTACACACCGTCAAAGCATTACCTGCCACTCTGTGAGCCTCCCCGTACTGTTTTGCTATGGACGTAGACGATAAGGATGCCAAACTCGCCAAGGTCCAGGCGCAACTGACCCAACTCATGGCTGTGGTCCAGGAGGAACGCAAGGTCCGGAAGGAGGCGGAGGAGCGCTTAGCCAGGAAGGAGGCCCTGAAGACCGCCAACAACAAACCGCAAGACCCAGCCCCGCCGGCCAAAGGCCCTAAGATTGGAGTCCCCGACAAGTTTGATGGCACCCGCGGAGCTAAAGCGGAGGTTTTCATAAACCAGGTGAACCTCTACGTCCTGGCCAACGGACACCTCTTTGGCACCGACCACGCCATTATGGTGTTTGTGTTGTCCTACCTGACTGGACCGGCTAGCTCTTGGGCCCAACCGTGGATGAAGAAAGTGATGAGCAATACTGAGGCTATCAGTAAGGACAACTTCGACACTCAGTTCACCGCCATGTACTGCGACACCGAGAAGAAGACCAAGGCGGAAGCAGCCCTACCAGCGCTCAAGCAGACCAAGTCGGTTTCTCACTACACCTGTCAGCCTCTGGGTAACTAACCTGAGTATTTAATAGTAAAAAGGTTGTTACTATGAGTTGACTGAAGTTTTGAGCGTGGTGAGTGTTAGGTAGTGGGTGATTAATACCAGTCCTGTAAAGAGGAGGTTTCACTCTATCAGTATGGTCTTTACTGAGAGGCTTGCTATCAACAGCGCATCCGGATCAATACAAGGTATTAATAGGCATCCAGGGTACTAAGACTCACCTGGTATTGATTTGGTTATTCCCAAAAGGGAATGGGCTAACAATACTTATTAAGCTTTAACAAAATAAGTTGAAGATTAACAGGTATTGTTGATGGGAATATTCAGCAAGGCTATGAATACTGTGGATAAATTGAGTAAGAGTACTGAAGCTTAAGAACAATAAATGTAGACAAGATTTATGTTGGTTACGTGTACTGTATCAATATAAATGTTAACTGGTTTAACTGGTGTCTGAATATTCTGGGGATTAATCAGTGAAAGAGGCACGGATTATAAGTTCCAGAATATTGAAGAGGGGAAAGAATGAGCGCTCAGAATCAAGGGAGCTTTGGCCAGGAGAATGAGCACATCAATTGAGTGACTGATCATTATTTGTCATGATCTGTAAGTGACATCATAATTGTGTACTAGTTGATCAATGTACTAGTTGCTCTTGATGCGTGTACTTAACAGATCCTCTAATAATGTAGTCATAATTGTGATCAGTGCATGTATTGAATGTATTAATTCTATTGACACTTAATACTTACTATTTAATACATGTACATATTTATTTGTGATAATATTTGACTGTGAAAATACTGTAGCAGAGGGATAACTTGTGGTACAGGTATTTCACGGACAAAGGAGTGAAAGGTAAGTGATAATTACTTATGTAGAACACAGGTATGTATTTAATAGATAAGTAATTAACAGATAAGATAAAAATGTAAGATAAGTTAATGATAATGATAAGATAACAAGAGGTAAAGGTAATCAACATTATGGATAAGTACTTATGTACATAAGTACAGGTGTTGCAGTTACTTGGTACATGAAAGGTACTGTGACATGTACTCTGTGGCTGACACTTCCTCCCTCTAAAAAAGGCTGATCCAATAAATAAATTAATGTTATTTTCTTTTATCAGCTCTGTATTGTCTGAGAATTGTATCAGCATCAGGTATTTTATCAACTGTAAGCCATTCATCTTCTTTGGTACCACTGTATCTTACTAAATATTGTTTAATGTCGTCATTGTTTTTTCTGATTTTTCTATGTTGTAATATCTTCTTGATTTTAATTTCTTATTTTTCTAAAGGAGGTATTACAACTCTGATGTTATCTTTTCTTAAAGGAAATTCCTCATTATCACTAGTTTTGTATGGTTTAATTAGACTGACTGGGAATGTAGGGTGTTTTCTTTCTAATTCTCCAGTGAGTATAACTTCAACAGCATTTGCACCATGTAATTGTTTGATTGTAAAAGGTCCTACAAAGGAATCTCTTAATTTTTTAGGTCCAGTCAGGTTTGTAAAATTAAATGTAGATATCAAGACTTGGTCTCCAACTTTCAACTGGTGAGCTTTGTGAGTTTTATCCCATCTAGTTTTGTTGTAGTCTACAGCTAATTTCACGCATTCTGCTGCATATTTTTCAGCTTTGGTCATCATAAAGTGAAAATCAGAGGCACTTGGGTGTATGTGTACTGCTTTTGACATCAAAATTACTTTGGGAAACCAAGGAGTCTAACCTCTTTCTAATTCATAAGGTGTTTTATTTGTTGTACTGTGTTTGCTAGAATTGTAAGCATATTCAAGTGCAGGTAATAATGAACACCAATCATGAGTATAGTTGTCTTTATCCTTAAATGTCATACCATAGGCACAATATCTTCTGATCATGTCTTCCAAAGTCTGAATCATTCTTTCAGCTAGTCCATCTGTTTGGCCGGGGTGATAAGCTGTAGAAAATTTTAGTTGTGTCCCACATAAATCATATAAGTTTCTCCACAATTCTGACGTAAATTTAGGGTCTCTATCTGTAATGATATATCTGGGACAACCAACATCATAAATCATAGAATTCCAAAATAATAAGGCAGTATCCATTGCTGTATCTTCTTTATGACACGGTAGAAATCTTGCTCTTTTGGAAAATCTATCAACTACTACTAAAATTGCATTGAAATTATTAGGTCCTCCAGGTGGTAATCCAGTAACAAAATCCATGTTAATAACAGACCATCTTTCTTTGGGTTCTTCAATTTCTTGCAATAGTCCATATCTTTTTCCTGTAGCTTTATTTGCTTTTTGACATCTGTCACAGGATTCACAATAATCTTTAGTATCATTCTTAAAATTAGGCCACCAGGCAATTTGTTTAACTCTCTCAATTGTTCTGTCAAAGGAAAAATGAGCTGAAGAGATATTGTTGTGACATTCTCTCAAAAACAAATTAATGTGTTATTTTAAACAAATAACTACTACACTTGTATGTTTAATTCTGTGGTAAATTAATCCATCTAATAGAGAGAATCTATTTTCTTTGAATGAGCTAAGCCATGGTTCTTCCAAGGAATTTATCAGATCATTGTTTTTGAAATTACTTTGTAATATATTTTTGATTGTGGAGCAATTTTTATTTTGGTCATAACTAATTCTAATTTCATCCCAAAATTCTTCTTGCATTTCAGTTACGTGTAACCCACAAATATTAATATCATCAGTGTTATCATCAAAGGCAGGATTATTTTCATTATTTTCCTCTGGGAATAAACACATAATTTTTGCAGCAATTTCTCCGTCCCAGGCTGGGTTATCTGGTATATTTTCCAAAGACCATCTACTAAGTCCATCAGAATTTTTATGTATATTACCTTCTCTATGTTTAATAGTCATACTTCCTCTCCATTCTTGAATAGCTATTTGCCATCTGAGCATGTGTCTATTTGGAGTTTTCATACTTAATAAACTTTTGAGGGCTCTACAATCAGTAATGACTTCAAACTCACATCCATCAAGGTAATAGTATAATTTATCTAGGGCCCAGACTAAACATAAACATTCAAGTTGGCTGGCCCCCTATTTCTTCTCACTGTCTTTCAAGGTTCTAGAAATATAACAAATGACTCCTTCTTTTGGTATTTCTTGATCTTGAATTTGGTGCAAAGCAGCTCCTAATCCTTCCATACTAGCATCTACATATAATTTATAAGGCTTATTAGGATTAGGCATAAATAATATAGGAGCAGAAGTAAGTAATTCACGTAATTTATTAAATGCAGCTACTCTGTCTACTGTCATTTCAAAGGCAGTGTTTGGGCTACTTAATTTATATAAACAACCTGTTACTTTGGCAAAATCTTTAATGTGTTGTCTATAATAACTAGCAAAACCAAGGAATGACTGTATTTCTTTAACATTAGTGGGCATAGGTTTTAACATCACGGCAGCTACTTTATTTTTATCTATAGCTATGCTCAATCCTGAAACTATGTGGCCTAATGCTTTAAGTTCCTGAAAACCAAATTGGCATTTGTTCATAAAGATCTTCATATTCATTTTTATAACTCTCTCTAGAACAATTTTTAATTTGTCAAGGTGGTCATTCCATTCAGTGCTAAAAATAATAATGTCATCAATATGTATTATTAGCCATCCTTCACGTAATTCTTTATTAAATTCAGTATCCATCATTCTTTGGAAGTGAGATGGTGCATTTTTAATTCCAAAGGGCATTCTCAAATATTCATAAATACCCATATGTAGAATAATTCTCATTAAGTTTCTACTATCTTCATAAATAACATTTTGATGAAATCCTTTAAGTACATCTATGCAAGTAATATATTTAGCATTTTGTAGTTGCGTGATGGCTTCACTTATTTTAGGCATTGGATATCTATCAGCAATTGTGTAATTGTTAAGAGCTCTAAAATCTCCAACCATTCTAGATTTACCATTATGCCACGCAATAATTACAGGAGTAGTTACTTCAACATTTTCATTGGCACCAACTTTTCTAAGTACATTCATCTTTACTAGGT